GATTATCACCTGTAAATGTTGGCATTAATTTCTGATATCTATATTAAAAATCAAAGCATTGATTAATTATGTTTTTAGATGATAATCATTATAATAAATTCATAACTCACAACTCTATTTCCTCTAAAAATTTACTTCTATATTCAACCACATCACTTCTTTCATGTCCATCAAAATAAAGACCTTTTTTATATTTGTCATATACATAGCCCATTTTCTTCAACCACCTGTTTGCTGTTGATAAACTTAAAAAAAAAATTTTTGTTAATTAAGAATAGTTTACAAAAAAAATATTCTTCTTCTCACCTGATTGCTGTCTCATTTTCAACTCCTATACTAGGAAATACATCTTTAGCAATAAATTCTTTAAAATTATTTACAGTCACATTAAATTTTTCCTTTCTTAAAAAAGATGATATTTTAATCTGAACATCTTCATCATCAATAATACTTCCTCTTAAATGTTTGCCTCTTTTTTTATATGAAATATCACCATATTCTATAAATGACTTTCCCCAACTTCTTATACATTTTGAAAACCATGGGCCTTTATTTAAGATTTTTGAAACTAAATTTGCTGCTTCAAATTTTTTTTGATTTCTTTTTAATAATTGAAAATAATATTGCAAAGCTTTTAATCTTAGATTATAACTTTTTGCAATATCAAATAACTAATTAATAATAAAATAAACACATTTTTAATTGTTGGATAGTTGCAAGGCCATCCAACCTTTAGGTACCCTTTTAAATTTACTATATTGCTGAAGGAATGCCTCAAGTAGTATAGTTGTAAATATTTCTTGTAATTATATTTGTTTTAAGTACAGAGGTTAGCTGTAATGTATGCCGAAGGCTAATGAGAAAATTTAGTTAGCGAGAATGAGTTTAAGATTGAGATCTCAGACACATGCTTGCACTGTAATTGTGAAAATCAAAGAAGCCGGTGAATTAATAGGTGTTTACAACCCAGTTTGTTGGAATATAAAAGAAAAATACTTTATTGAAACAGATCAGTTTTATTTTCAAAATTGATAAAAATTAACTTATAATTCCTTTGCCAAATATAAAGGCAATTCTCCACATAATTATATCTAATACATCTTTAATTCATTCATTCAACAAATCCAAATCTACCCTGTACTATATAGTAAAAAGGAAAGTTTTAATTCAACTAACACACAGAGTGAGGAAAATACTCGGCCCAAAATCATTTGCGAGTATTGCCTATTTCTTTGAGCACTCTGACAAAAATCTAACTTTTGCTATTAGATTATTATTATCAATTATATTACTATTACTAGTATTAGTATCTTCTTTTTTTTGCTCGTTGTCATTATCTTCAATCTTTTCTTTCCTTTATTAATCCATTCTTGAATCACCTAGTATTTGTTTTTTGTTGGTAAAAGCTCTTTATTTTGGAGGCAACAATTTCCTTTCCTTCTTTGTGTAGTTCATGAATTTTTTCACTAAGCGAAAAATCTGAATTCAACCAGTCTTTTTGTCAAACAATTGTTGTTAAATCTTCTGGTATAAATCAAAATGATCAATAAAACAAGAGCCAGGATCAAAGTAAACTACTATTATTAAAAATATCACATAGTTGACTTTTATAGGTTTTACAAAAAAAATTAATTTATTTTTGTTTTAATAATTTAGCCCTTGAAAAAAATTTTTTTTTGTGAATTATTATTATTATAATAAATAATAATAATAATGTTAATTATAATGATATAAAAATACATTGTGTTATATGCAATTGTAAGAAAAAAAAAATATTATTATTAAAATTACAGTCTATATAAATTATATTATTAAATCGTTAATAATATAGTCTTCAGGACCTTTAGATATGCATCTAGAATGATTACATTTTGATTTATGTTGCTCAATTATTGACCTTGCACCAACCATCAAATGTTCCCTAATTTTTTCCCATATTGAACCTTTTAGGCCTTGGTTAGCAACCTTTCTGGCCAAGTGAATCCAGCTTGGAACAGTCAAGTCTTTCATATTATAATCATCCCAAGTAGTATATTCGATTTTAAATTCTGGTGTGATATTTGGATATTGGTTGGCTTCTGTAAGATTAATGAAATATTGTGTGTAACCTAACGGGGTTAGAAATGTATTTGAATGTGCAGGTGAGCTTGAATCATCATAATCATCATTGTCAACATTATCATCATCATCATCATCACCATCGTCACCATCGTCATTGTCGTCATTGTCATAATCATCACCTATAGATGATTGTGGTTGTGATGGTTCAGTAATGTTATATTGAAAAATTCTAAGAGCAGGAAAAAATGTTGGAATTATGGAAGGATTAATATGAATGACAGCATATTGTTTTGTTACAGCTTCTGTTAATCGCGGAACAGCTCTGTAGTGAGAATATAATTTTCCTAGATACTTGTCAACATTATAAACTTTAGTATGAAATTGTTTGTTTTCATCATCATTAATATTTGTTTGTGATGATTGGAAATTCAATTGATTGGTTGTTTGTGATTTGTGTGATAAAATAGATGAATCACCACTACTATTTTTTATAATTCCAATGTCTTCGGCATCGGAATTATCATCCTCATCATTATCATGCTCAATATCATCAAAATCATCAAATTTCATTTTTCTATACTTATTTTTAGAGCCAATAAAAAAGAAATGATCCATGTTTGAATGTCCATAATAATGACCCAGAATAAGGTCATGATATTTAATTGCCAATTTTCCATATTTTTTATAACATGTTAGTATGTATTGATTTCTTCTTGGTGCGATATGGCCTGTTAAATAAACTTTCAACCCATGTTTTCTAGCTTTTTTAAGAACTTTGTTCAACCATCTAAATTGAATAGTGCCAGGTTGAGTCCTAACTTTACAACCATTAATGGCAGTATTTGATTTATAAAAATACAAGGTATTTAAAGAGACAACAATAAGTTTTCCAGGTATAACTTCAGTATAGAAATATCCTCCTCTAAGGAAATGTTGATGTTGACCTTTTGGTATGAATTGCGACCAAGTTCCGTGAAGATTTGTGAGGATGTCATTTGGGCCACGAGGAATAATATTATTTGGATTAAGATCATTATTGCCAATGGAAGGAACTATTGGTATAGTTTTAAGACGAGGGTGATGTTTTTTTGTATATGTAGTTTTTGTAAAAGTTTCAAGAAATTTATTTGTTATGAATTGATTTGAATCATACATTTCTTTTGGTGTACGTGGAATATTATTATCATTATCATGTCTAATTATCAAAATAAATAAAAATCATTCAAATTTAAAATTTAAAAAATTTTATAAATGATAACAACAACAACATACCTGGAATTATCACCAGTCCAAATAACAAAATCCAACTTATTTTTCCAATTTTTTTCCAACCACTCAAAAGTAGCATTAATTAAACTGATCGGAGAATCACATATGGTCGCTTCAGCACCCCAAGGACCAGAAATACCTTTTTTCATATAAACAGGTCTTTTAAGCTCTGATAATCTTTGATGGCATCTTGATTTTACTATAGCATTTGGTTCATAATAAGCATCAGGGTGAAAATCTGTAATGTGTAAAAAATATCCGGTAAGTTGTTTCTTTTCTGGTATTAATCCAAGCTTTGGAAGAGACAATAATGATACTACTGTTATTGTTATTAATAAAGCAATTGTTGATATAAAAATTATCAAAAATTTTGGTAACAATAAAACCATTTTGTTAATGCTTCTTTTTTTTTTTTTGAAAATAGTATAATTAGAATAAAATAAAAATAATATTTCTATTTACTTTATTTGCTCCATTGTTTACTTCCAAAGTATTAAATGTTAAAAAGAAATCTTAAGAAATTAAAAATTAAAAATTTAGTGTTTTTGTTTTTAACGTACAAGATTATACAAATACCAAATTTGTATATGGTCCTGGAAAAATCCGAAAAGATTTAGGAAAAATTTTTCGCAGATCTATTATGTCATAAGAGGAATAGATGTAGTAACCTTGCGTATCACACCACTTGATTAATGATAAAAAGACTAGAGGCTCCAGATTTGTGCGGCATGGTAGATTACGCAAATTATGCGCCATTTATTAAAAAATGATTTTTATAATTTTAAATCAAATATATACATGTTTTTTAATGGATGATGATTATTGTTGTTGAGACATTTTCAAGAGTTTTATTCATGAAATTTTTTAATTGTGTAGGATTGTAAGAATTTGACAAAAGAAAGACTTTAATCTCTATTTATACAGATTTTTTGGAATTTGATGATGTTGTGTTATCTTGTTTTTATTATTATTGTTGTTTGCATTCATCTTTTTATTATTACCTTTTTTTATTTTTAAATTTATATCATGTGAATTCATTATAATGTGATTGGTACTTATTATCCATTGTATAGTTTAATATTAAATATAAAATTCATTGAAATGAGGGTTTGACTGTAGGTTCATATTATCACTATAATTATTATTATAATTATAATCGCCATTATCATTGTCCATGTTGCAAATAAGTTAAAGAGAGATATCCAGATTGATCATACACGGATCACATCTCTAAAGCAGATTAAATTTGTGTAGTACGATTATGCAAATTATGGAACAAACCAGCTAAAAAAGACTTTACTTTGGCTTTCCCACAGATTCAAATTAAAAAACTAGTCAAATTTACGTTTTAAAATATTTTTTCTTTATTTTTATTGGACATAAATAAATCCAAAGTGAACAATACCATTTGTTTTTCTAGTGAATCAGGCCCTCTGTATTCTACACATTCAAAAGTCCTTTGCGCATATTTTCAGCTTTTGGTTTGGATTTACTGTTACTGTACAAAACACAACTTCTAGCAAGCTTTTGACTTTTGGACTTATTTTTTTAATTGATTTTTTTTAGCACTCACCTTGAAACTAAGAGTGCATACATATGAAACACCTGAGGTTATGTCATATGATAATTTAGTAAGGTTACAGTCAAACCTTGTCACAGCAGATGAACAGGGCACATAATAATAAGAAAATTTTATCTAAAAATCTGTTGTGGCAAGATTATAATTACTAATCTTTCCACAACAGATTTAATATGTGAAACAAATTTTATGACAAAATTTGATTATAGTGTTTGACTGTACCTAAATTATTTTTGATTACCTAATTCAGGTTAAAATAAAGGATAAGCAGTTATGGTATACAGAAAATCATTCCAAAAGTTACAACATAGTTATAGCATAGCTGTGTCATAACTATGAGTTATAATATTTGACAATTTGATCTTTTGTAAAGCACATAAGGAGTTCATTTGATTTGAATAATCATTCATTGTGATTCAAATGCTCAAAGTTAATTATGAATCATTCAAATCATTCAAATAAATTTATTTAAATAGAAATCCTACCTGTGGCCAGTCATCAAAGTCATATTAATGTAGAGAACATATGGGATACATATGTGATTTATGAGAAGCATACCAATACAGAAAATATAAATTCCATATGATACAGTTGGTGCTAATGAATAGAAATTTTCCTCTTGATATAATGACTTTTAATATGCCTGCTCATTATGAATCAACTGTTATATTATCTTTCAATGAACTATAATAACAATAATAGTGTTAATAACACTAAAGCAAATATATGATGACAATAAATTATAATTACAAAGATTTCAATAGGTAGGAAATCAATTTAGTTGTGTTTCATTTTTACTCTCTATTCTCTTGCATTTAGTTGATAATGTGAATTAAGGTTTCCAGCCAAACTCTCTTTATTAATAGCTGATTGCCAAATCACTTTGGGCAAAAATTACTTTTTTATAAGCCCAAACTATTTTTTGTTATTAGCCGAATTGGGTGAAATTACTTTAAAGTTGTTTAAGTTAAAATAAGTTGATTGGTATAGTTTTTTAATGTTCATGTTTATAAAAAATGCCGAGAAGCCCAAATTGCCCAAACTAGTTTGGGCTTTGAGAAAACAGTTTGGACCAGAAACTTTAATGTGAACATGGCTTCATTTCACCTATTGAAACAAAGATTTATGATTTAAAGTGGGATATTTTGTTATTTAACTAGTATTGGTTCCCAAAACTGGAGAGTTTCACAACTGTGTGAAATTCAAAAGGTTTCACCATAAGTCGAAACTAGTTTTATGTTTAACTATTGACTTTTGATTTAGTTTTGACTTTTGCCTCTTGGCTAAAATGCATCTCAATCCTTTCCATTTATCACAAATTGCAAATTAAGATTGATCTGCATTTTAACCATTTTAAATGGTTAACTGTCTAACTAGTTAATTAACCAGTTCCAATCTCTAGTTAAAAAAGCCAAATAAAATTAGATATATAGCTAGCTATATTGCTTTTGCAAATGAAGTTTATTTTGACCAAATTCCCTTCATGATAAATAAAATAAATAGTTATAGACATTGATGAGAAAATTATTAGATAAAAAATATTAATGTTTTATAACCAACTTAGACTCTCTTTTTAGGATGATTCTAATAATATATTTTTGGGCAAATATTATGAAAATTCATTATAAAGAAAGATATGTATATGTATGTAACTTTTCTTCATAATTCAATAATCTTAAGATTCACTAATCTTTAATATTTTACAGACCCAGCATCATGAATATTATGTTAACAGAAGTGATGATATAAACTGCTTTGTCAATTATTAATAAAAGATAGATTTTTGTGATTTGATCAAATCTTCCATCTTGGATGTCAGAATAAAGGTAATTAATAATTATAATGCTAAAGGTTTGTTAAAAATACCAAAGAATTTTTTGTGAGGTGTTAAATAATTTAACAAACAATTAAATTTTAAGGCATGTGGGAAGATCTCCAACTTGGAACTTTATAATAAATAACTTCTTCCCACAAATGACATGTATCATAAATATTTGTATTTCTAATTTACTTTCTGAAAAATATTTTGATGATTATTTATTTGCTTTAAATGGGCCCATTCATTCCCAAAGAAGACTGCCACATAGTACCTTTTCAATAGAAATGAGGACAACATTGAATTCATGATTGTGGACTTTTTTACAAAATTTACAAAAATCCAGAATTAAAATTTTGGCTGTTCCAACTCATTGGAACTCTACTTGCCAGTTTATGGATTAAAATTTGCAATTGAATAAAAGTTTCAAACCTTTGACAATCTTTTTATAGAGGTCAACCTAGTTCTGCAATAAGACATGCATATGAATTTTATAATATAATATTAGAACAATTGATTCTAAAATTATTGCCCAGGAGTTGGTTCTACATTAGAGCCATCAGTAATATCTATTCTTCTTCATCAATTCTTTTTTTGATGTATATAATTCCTAGTTGTTCTTGATAAAAATAAATGATGATATTTTAAAATATTTAGTACAGTTTTATTCACACTAATTTGTGTGGCATTTCTACTCCTAAACTTCTTGGCTTAAATTCTTTTATCCAAAAACCCAATTTCTCTTTTTGTATCAGATAGATGGTGTTCTAGTTAAAATGAACTTGGATTGCTGTAATACTAAAGGTTGTGTTTATAGATATACAAAAGACAAACCATGTGAATTATATGCAGATGTAGAAAATTATTGGATGCACTCATATACTATATGCAAAAGTCAGTTCAATTTATTGATGATATAATATGGGGCATTTCACAGCAAAAACCACCTCTAAGACTTGTAGATTGTTTTGAATTCGGAATATTATTAAACCAGATGAAAATATAAAGGACTCATTCAACTCAAAAGACTAAAGTTGGCATTCCAGAATATCACCTAGCACCCAAAAGGGTGACAATCCAATAGCTAAGTGGATTTTGAAGATTCAATTTATAATTAATTGATCTCTATGTGAGGCACAGCAATTGGATGATTATTTTTCATATCAATAATTTTATTTTTTTATTTTTTTATTTTTTAGCATTGATTTCATTTGTTCAAATTTTTTCTTCTTTAGTGATTGTTTTTGCTGTTTTTTTATATCCTTTTCTTTGCTCTTTTCCTTAGTTATTTTCTAAATAGAAATTATTAAAATATTTGTAAGCTTTTTATATTTTGCATTATATATTTTCTGTAAAATATATTCTACATATATATATTTTTACCAATTTTTTCTCTATTTTTTTGTCTTCTTTTGAATTAAGCTGGTTGATTAAATTTATCATCATATCTTTATCAGCAAAATTTTTTCCTCTCTTCAATACATCTAATTTAATCTCTCTCTTCTTATGATTATTATTGTCATCTTTTTCTATTTCTTCATCATCAGTTTCTTCATTAATTTCTTCATTTTTTATTAACTTTGAATAGTAGTTTAATTAAAATTGTTTCCTCAAGAGGGAAAATAGAATAAAATAATATTCGCACTTACTTTTTTTGAATCTTTAAAATTCTTTTTTCTTTTTTTCAAATTCTTTTTTTTTTCATTTGATTGGGACATTTTTTGATGGAATAAAAATTTTTGTTTATTATTATATTTTTAAGCTTGTGTAACTAAAATGACTTAAAAAAACTAGAATGAATGGGTAAGATATTTTAAATATTTTAATTTTTAATTTTTTTGAAAATGTTATTAATAAAATTGATTTTTTTAGCTTACTAGTTGCAATAGTATTAAATTTGATAATAATTCTCTTTAAATTTAAGTGTTGGTATGATGAATCTTTTAATTATAACTTTTCTAAAAATCTAGATTTTAAGGTAAATAATAGATTTAAACAATATAATAACAATAATTATTATTATGATTTTAATTTTGTCATTTAATAATTAATAGTTTTTAGATTATAAAATGGTTTTATTATATCTAAGTATGATAAATGGGTTATATGTTTTTACAAGATCAAGGGAATTACAATTATTCCAACATAATGCTAAGGTGGATGAAATTTCAGATTATAATCCTAAATTATTTTATGCAAATATTTATAATTTTTAATAATATTATTACAAAGATAAATCCTAAAAGTCAAAATACTAAATTAAAAAAATTAAATTTAGAGAAGGGATAAATAAATTTAATTTGAATATGAAATATATATATCATTAAATTTTCTAATGTTTTATAATATAGTGATATTCTAGAATGACAAGAAAGGAAAAATCTGTTTGGGTCTTGAAGATGTGGGAACAACAATTTTTCTTTTTAGAATTATTCTGGTATTTATTATAGCATTAGTATTTATGGTAATTGTCATAATAATAATAACTATAATATAATTTTTTATAGTTATTTCTCTCCTACACAAACTCTTATACTATATCTTAGTACAAGTGATAATTGGACTTTTCTTTTTCCTGTGGCTATTTTTATTGGAGTTCAAGTCAGTATAATATCATAAAACACAAATACCTTATATCATAAATTATAAAATTTATTATTTTTTATTTATTTGATATTAGATGGGAATAACATTGAATGGTTTTATTTCTTTGGCCAATGATAATTCAATAATATTTTCGGAACTTTGTTAATGAATACAATAACAGATTTGTTTACACATACTTGGCCAAATCTCACCAATCATAATTATAATACACATGATGTCAATTATGATTGAGTTGATGGATGAATAATCAATCAATTGATCTTTTTTCTCAAAACATCAATTTCAGAATTTGGTTTGTTTCTACTAATATAAAGAAAGAGATCTAGTAGTGTATATAAAAATTTATAATAATCAAATATATAAATGTATGAATGATGTTAATTTCTCTTCATGATCATCATCTTTAAAATACATATAAAGAGCTAAAAAGTTTTACTAAACATGTGTTGTTATTCCTCCTACCTTTAACAACAAATATATAAATAAACATTCTTTGTATGTATCTATTGCAAGCATTACATATACGAGCATAGTGGAATTGGTTGTAGATCGTTAATTAAAAAATGATCAACATAACCAACAAAACAGAGGTTACAGTGGAAGTAGGTGATAAACTGGACTTCAATTGGATCTCCAACCTAGAGAGGTGAAAACTATATGCTAGTGAAGTTTCAAGGAAAATGGGATATGTGTAACATATTGGATGAAACAAATTTCCACTATGCTCATTATATGCCATCTGGTTGATATATGAGCTTTTTCTGTTAATATAATGATCAGATAAACTATGTTAGATTTTTTAGATCCAGTTTATTCTTCTGCTTAAGGCTAGTTTTAATTCCCTAATTAATACCAGTGAATCTCAGTTTAGGAGACTTGATTTAACAGATACTAATTAAAAATCTCAATTGATATAACAGTTTTTGGAAAATTTTCCCTAATTGCCCAGTCTATAGATTCACCATGTAACATCTGTTTCAACAGATAAAACATCATCCAAAAATGTTGTATCTGGAATAGCAATTGTATGAAGTATAACCTCTATGTTGTTGTCATTAGGCTTTGATGAAGACATTTGTGTTTTTTTTTTTGAATTAGAAGTGATATTGTTAGTAGATTTCACTGTATTTATTCATTACTACTGATAATGAAATTGAAAATGCAGCATCAATTTTAGGTTCATTGAATGTAGAAGAACTCAATAATTTGCAGAATTTGATTGATGAACTTGCATTTACTAATCCTATATTTGCATCTGAATACATTGAAATCGAAAAAACTAATGATGAAAATGAAGAAATAAATTTACAAGACATAATTTCGATAA